CAGCGTGCCGCCGAAACACCGGCCGCCGGTGCGCGGGACCTCATGGAGGATTCCCCCAAAACACCCCAAAATAGCTGCCCCATCACTTCCGCCTGCAGCCTGGCGGGTCCCTGGGGTGCCTGGCATTGCCCCGGCTTCACCGATTAATGCGCAGGGCCAGGGCCGGCAGCAGATGGCTTTGCTCGGCACAGCCGCGTGGCACGGCACGGGGTCACTGGGCACGGCACGGAACATCTCCTCCGGCCGGCGATGCCCGGCTCCGGCCATGGCTCCCCGGCCACGCTCTCACCCAGGGGGGAAAGCTTTGGGTTTCCGCAGGGCCGGAGTCGGTGCGGATGCCAGCCGTGCCAGGACTGTCCCATGTCACCCAACCCGCCAGCGTACCGAGCGGCGACACGCACACGTGCTGACACTCCACAGACATTTTTGGCTATAAATAGGCCTCCCTTGCGCACGGCGCGGGCCGAGCCCCGCTCCCTTCTTCAGAGCTGGCCCCCCTGCGCCTCCTCACCCACCCCAAAATCATCAGCCGGGGCCCTAAAGACACCCGATAGCTGAAAAAGACTCTTCGGGGGGGCCACACCGGCACCCACCAGGGTTGCAGGGGTCGCCCTTTCCTGCCTCCCGCTCAAATGCTCCTTGTTGACTTAACCCAGTGGAGCGAAGGGCACTACAATCCCCTGACTCCGGGAGCTGGAGATTGGCAAAAACAAAAGCCGCCCTGAAAGGGGAGCCGGAAAATCGACCCCGGGTGGCCCACAGCTTAGTGGAGTGCGAGCAGGAGCATCCTCTGGGACAACGGGGGCCAAGGGCACAGCAGGCAGAAAACTCTTCCCAGTAACTCCAGTTTCCCCCGTTGCTAAAAACTGGTGGTGGAAGCGGGCTGGGCAACGTGCCTGCGGAGCCTGCTTGCCCACCGTGTCCCACCGGCACACGTTCGGTTCGGCGGTGCCGGGAGCAACCAGGAACCAGTGCGGGGACCCCACTCGGGGGTTGGCACCCCAGGGAAAGTGTCCCCAGGGTGTCCCCAAAATGTCACCGCCGCTCGCCCGCCCCGTGTCTCCCACGGGGGACAGCAGCCCCGGGGGACA